GTTTAATTTATTATTTCCAAAAAGTTTTTAAAATCCTTTCATAGTATAGACATAGGCATAGTAGTTTGTTGTCACGGTGTTTTATAGAACCCTAGTTCATCGTAACAATAAATTATTGGTATTAATGTAGCCATGCCATACCACATGTAAGAAAATTGAGGTTCAGAGTTGCATATCATTTTCTCAATTATATCTAATTAATTAAGGAAGGCCCTTGCTTGCTCTAACACCATGAGCAATTTTTTATGCTAATACCTCTTTTACCTGGGAGAAGCCAAAATTCCAAATTGAGAGTCTTAGCTAAAAGTTTAAAACCTTTAAAACAGATCTCAATAATATTTCCTGGTGATGGAATAATTCTGAATACCTTGAATTGAAATGCCTGGAAGAGAATTCAATGAGAAAATTAAGTCGCTCTCAAGTTGACTACTCCATTCACGTCATGAACATGTGTGGTGATACATAATTAGTGGGGGAACACACTTCATTTTATTCTTATATTGTGCTCACACCTGGCATTTATTCTTAGGGAACAAGTGACTGCTACCACTAAGAAAGAAATTTTAAATAAGGTCACAAAAATATTTTCAGGTAGATAAAATTAAAACATTTAAACATAAATACTGGAACAACTTCACTTTGATGATAAAGTCTTTGTAAAAGGCGATTTCTCAATCTGCTTTCCTAAAGCAATTTGAGATATACAGGACTTGTGAAAGGATTTGGGAACTTAGTTCAATGGATATGTATTTTTCAGGTGTGATGATCCATAATTTCTTATGGTCACTAGGTTAGCAAACGCAAGGCACATGGAAACCGAATATGCTGTGATAGTTCTGTAAATGAAAAAAATTCAAATTGTCATTTGGTTGTCAATTGAAACTCTTTAGTAGTTGGATTTGTGATCTAAGAGCATCTGCTACCAAGGATTTGGGGGACAATTTACAAATGGTTTGGGCCAAACATGATTCCCCCTCACCTTAGAGGGAGAAACAGCGTGGTACCACCTTGAAACGTTTTATCTTAAGTGCTTGAAGAAGGAGAATGCACTCACGCATATAGAAACGCGGTCTGGCCAATGCACAGTCTCTAACATGTAGTGTACAATCTGTACAGTTCAGGGGAAGTTCCCACCCCTGGATGCAGAAAACTTTTTGGAAGTGCTGTAGAATGTTTATGTGTTGAAGAGCCCCCATTAATTTTTTGTACATTCTTTCCATAGCATTACAAGGGAAAATGCCAAGAAAACCCAACAAAGGGAATGAAATGTACTTTGAGAGGAAGAATTATAGCATAGTTAAAAAGGAATCAAATAATCTTAATAAAGGAAGTTATAGCTCTTGAATTAAAATGGTGTTGAAGGGATTTTAAAGAATTTTACTAGTTCTAGCATGGTCTCTTCCTGTAGTATGCTATTCAGCAGACTCAGAAATTAATTTATTTTGGCTAGAATAATATTTCCTGTCCATAGGCATCAACTTCATACCTCTGAAGTTTACTGAATTATTTTACCATATTGAATAGCTTAAGTTTGGACTTCCATTTACAAGCTGCTCCTCTGAAATGCCTACTGTTCACTTTTAACCAGACATCCCTCCTGAACTCACTGGACTTCCTTATTCATTTTTCCTTTTCACAAGCCTACACAGCTTTCTCAAAGAAAACCTAATATGAAATAAAGAAAATATGCAACTTCATATTCTCTGTGGACTTTGTGTGGTTGCATACCACATGAGCTATGTAATATCTACTTGTCATCATCCTTTCTCAACTGAATATTAAAATAAATAATCAAACAAATCCTTACTGAGAAACATACCACAAATGAAAGCTGCTTTAGGCATAATTTTATCCACTGCCTTCTCAGGAATACCCATTCGTTTTTATTTAGTGTTTAATTTAAATAAGCGTAGCTGCGTGTTCAAACATGGTATGACTCCTCCTCTTTGTTTAAGACACATTTTAAATATCAGCGTGTACCCTTAAGGAAATCAACATGTGATCACTAGGCCTTCCATGAATAGGAAAATTACAAGTGTGCTAAATTTGCTGCATTCTCTTAAGTCTTAAACTTTGGTTAAATTGCTGCCTAAGTGGATCAAATGGACTGAAATTGTCTACAGTTGAAAAGTAATTGAGGTGATAATTCCAACTGCAGTAGTTTTATTCTTTCAAAAATAGTGATCGGTGAAACAAAGTACTTTAGAGAACTCTAGGAAAACCTATCTTCAGAGTTAATCTTCTAATCATTATACAGAAAGGTGGGTTGTTTATTTTTTGAGTAGGAAAAAATATATTTGTAAAGAAAAAGACTGTATAAACTATGAATTTATGATACTTCTCACAGAAACCTCAATTTACTTTTAGCAATAATCTAGACTCCTTAATCAACATTGAATTAGAAAATCATATGTAAAAGTTTCATTATTATTTTTATTATGTTATATAATATCTAACTGTATTTAGAGAAGGAAACAAATATCAAATAATTTATATAGAATATGTAGAAACAATCAGAAACAGGGAGTCATTGTGTTCTAAGTTGTTGCTAAACTCAAAGGTTTAAAAATAAAGGTAACAGTCTAACCTGTTTTTAATAAGTTAATTTTTATTGTAAATAGGTGGATGTTTACATTTCAAACCATCAATTCTTCATTCAGCACATTCAAATCACTGGTCAATCCCTATGCCCCGCCCCTGCCCTGTATTCTATTCCACCTGCTTTCCCGGTTTCTCCTCTCCTTCTTAAGGATCGCTACCTTCCTGTCCATTCATGTCAGTACTTATCAACCTTCTACTCCGATAATTCGTCTTCTTGCCTTTACCCTTCCTGCCTTGAGAACCTCCAAAGTCTGTTTCCTTTGGTATGCATGTCTTTGTCTTGTCTTGATCATAATTGGTCTCATACGATATTTGTCTTTGTGACTGACTAACTTCATGCAACATAACATTCTCCGGGTTCCACCACGTTTCATGGTTTCATCACTGACTTTTGATGATGCACAGAATTCCTTTGTGTGTATGTACCAATGTTTCTTTATCTATTCTTCAACTGATGGGAATTTGGACTGTTGCCAACATCTTGCTATTGTGAGCAACGTTGTAAGAAGCATGGGCGTGCGTATGTCTGATCCCATTTTAGCTCTTACTTCTCTGGTACATATACCCAGCAGAGGTATGGCTGGCTCCTATAGAATTTTTATTCCCAGCTTGAGGTAGAGGAATATTGCTTTCATCAATGGTTGCACATATTTATAGACCCACCATCAGTGCAGGAGAAGTCCACTCTCTCCCTGCTCTCTCCATCATGTTGTGTTCTATTAGTATTATTATTGAGCTATCTTGGTCAGTCGATGCTGGGTGGATGATGATCATGAGCACTTTTTCGTATGTTTATTAGCTGTTTGGATGTCACATTTGGTGTACTTTTCTTCTGTTTATTCTTTTGTTCACTTATTGATTACATTATTCATCTACTTCTAATTTAAATATTACACTTCTCTTTATTTTTTAGAGATTATTCTCTTGTCTATTGTATCATTGCTAAAGATTTTTTCCCAGTCTGTGGGTTCTCTATTTACTCTTTTGATGAAGTCTTTGGATGGACATAAGTGTCTTATTTTTAGTAGGTTCAGTAATCTATTTTATTGTCCACTGTGAGTTTCCTTCTTTATGTTACATGGTATCTTTATTCCCTTCAATGGGGCCCTAAAATGTGTCCCTCTTTTCTTACTGATGCGCTTTATAGGTCTGGGATTTACATTCAGTCTTTGGTTCATCTTTTCTTGTATATGGGGTGAGAAATGGGTCCTGTTTCATTCTTCTACACATCGAGATCCAAGCTTGCCAGTATTCTATATTGAAGGGGCTATCTCTCTCCCACTTACATATTTTTTGGCACTTAGTTGAAGATCCCTTGTTTGTAGGTGGATGAATATGTTTGGGTTTCTTTTCCTTCTGATTGGGCTAGGAGCCTATTATTGTAGAGGACATTTTGACTATGGTGGCTATGGAATTGGCTTTGAGTTCGGCTACTGAAATGCCTCCTATTATATTCTTCTTCTTAAGTATTATGTTGCTTATCCTGTGTTTTATTCCTTCTCCATCTAAAGTTAGTAATGAGTTTTTTCAATTCTTTAAAAAATGGAGTTGGGATCTGGATTGGAATTGTGGTTTATTTATAGATTGCTTTGAATTAGTGATGTTTACACAATGGCAAGCATTCCTGGTCACGAACATGGAATATTCTATTCTTTATCTTCCAATACAAACTAAAACACTTTCCATCTTTTTTTCCTTCATAGGCCTCCAGTTATGTCTAAACACGCACCCACTATGTGCGATGCGAAGGACAAGAGGAATACAGACTTGAGGGGGTGCTAGAAAGGAAATGTAGAGAAAGCACGTAGCAAGCTTTCTTTACACAGAGCAAGGGAAAAGAGAGAGGGAGCCAAAGTTGCACAGGAAGAGTAGAATTATTCTTTATCGGGATGAAATATCCATCAAGTTACCAGGATGCAGCTAGTCTGCTTATGGCAGTGTGGTGGGTCTCTTTCAGTTGTATCCCAGTTTGATTGCTTGCACTAATTAAACTGTCCAACTGTTGACACTGTGGCATATCTCAGAACTACAAAATAAGATAGATCGTATCTCATTTTTTTTGATGTATCAAAATTTCCTTTTAAAATGCCTCTTTCATGGAATGAAAACTAAGACACTTTTTCACAAAATTTATATATCAAAGTTCAAGTGGGGATGTCACATGATCAGGCATATCCAGTGTGAAGATAGGAAGCCATCCAAGCAGAGAAAACATCACAAATTAGATAGTGTTAATAGTCACAACCAACAACATTGAGTGATTCTTCTTCATTCTGATAGCTGAACATTTCACAACTGTAACCCTCCTAAACTAGATCGACAGAAATAATGGAAAAACCTACAAAAGAACATGCACGTTGATTTTTATATACAATTTAGGTCGATTGTTGATTACATACCTATTAAAAGAGATGCTGTCAGTAGTTTAGGGTCATAAGGACTTTTTCCACGGCCATTTTCAAAATGTGAATCTTCCAATTTAAAAATGTTATCCTATTGAGAAGAAAATGAAGACTTGAATTTATTCATAAAAGGAACCATTTTGAACATATTTAATAAGCAAAGAGAGTTTGAGTGTTTGCAAGAGCTAACTATATCTGTGTACATGTTACTGAGTATGAAACATATTACGGTATTGAATAAAGCTATTGTTATCTAAATACCTTAATCTGGGGATTGTTTAGGTAGCATTTATGACGTTGCAAGTAATAATGTGCAAATGCAATCTAAGGAACAGAAATGTTAGCTATCCTATGAATTCTTACAGGAATTAATTAAACTTTAGATAAAATCACTCCTTTTCTCCCTCCATATAAAGAACAAAAATTTCAAATCACTATATAGATGTATCTAAAAATATACTGTCTCTTGCAGTATTTTCAAAAGGAAATTCTAAGGAGTCACAGCACTGACATTTCCCCATGTGCCCTTTCACACCTTTAGTGTTAGCATGCCGCTTATGCACCTGCCTCTTACTCACATAGCTGGTAGCGAGGCACCTGACACTTTGCTTCGGCACCTCTCTGTATGGCAAATATCAAACTCTGTACGTTGAGGGAGGTGGCCTGGAGGTGTTGCCATTACGACAAAAAGCACAAAGGTGACACCCTTCTATCACAGGGACTTTGACTTTGTTGAACAAGTACCTAGAAATTCGGACAAGACTATTTGACCTCAAATAAAAGTATGCACATGTTGCAAGGTAAAAGGTAGGCAGCAAAGAACTATAACCGAAGCCTTGACAGGAGCCTAATGACCTCTTGCCTGAGACTCTGTAGTCAGAATGTGTCTAGCCCCTGCAAGCACTATACAGCAGTGGGACAAATCAGGTAGTTCAGAGCACACCCTGCAGAACCGGTGCTCTGGGAACTAATTAGGTTAGAATATGGATGATATTTCCAGTAGCACATTAACTTGTCTACAGACTGAAATAAAATAGTTTTTTTCCCCTACTATTCACATAAAATATTTTTTTTAAATCTTCTTAGAATAGCAAACGGTATCCATTTTATGGTCAATAAGGATCACTTTATATAACATTTAATATTTCTGATGGAGTTTATGGCATTGATTCAAATTATGACTCTTATACCTCATCTGAGTTAGAGAGGAAAAGTGAAAAGGAAGCAAACCAAAAATGTTTTCCATTTTTATTACTTTGAGCGAGAGTTATGGATTCTATCCCTTCCTTCCATTAATCCTGCCTTTGACAGTTAATACTCCCCTAGCAAGGGTGGTACTTTGGCTTAGTTCTACAATTCAAAATGTCAATTCATGTCTCAGACTTGTGATAAGTGGTGATGGGAAGGACACTGAGCTAGGTGCTAGCCCTATGAGAGCCAATTATTTGATTTGACTCTTTGTTCATTATTGATAATATCTGAAATCCAGCCTCTAAAAGTTAACACAGGTAAGGGTATTTAACTTGATAGGTTTATTGTAATGGTTAAACAATTTAAATTAGCATTTTAAAATAAAATAAGATACAATGCTGTATATTTTACATTATTATTACTCCTCTTATATCCAGTAGACTAAATTAATATGAATATTTAACACAAGCTGTTATCTATTATTGCAAATTCAAGTAGCATAATCTGAAAAAAATATCACTTTAACAACACTGATATGACAGCAAATGCCAAACTTGTTTACAAATATAATTTGTCATAGATGCTTAGATATTAAAACTGTAATGTGAAACTTAATGACATATGGCAAGAAAAGCACATAAGAAGCTTTAAAGAAATATTTACATGCATTTTGATTAAAATAGAGGAAACAGTAAAAATCGAACATGATCAGTAATAGATCCACACCGTATTACCCAAAATCAAGGGAAGTGGCATTAGATTTTATGTGTTATTATTTTTCGTTGGTTAGAAGAATTAACAGGTGAAGTGATGGTATGGTTAGAAGCATTGTTATAAATTTGATAAATTTCTTATTCTCAAACAGTATTAACAAAGGTAGACAATCTATCTCTCAAAGTACAAGACACATGTTGTCTGGGATCATACGTCCAAGGTAATCAGACAATGCCAAGGTAGATGAGAAGTACTTCTAACATCATGAAATGCTTGATTTACACAGTAGAGGGTTAGACTTCATAGGAAGAGCGCTTAAGTATGTCAGTTATGGTTCAAGAGGAGATGGAAATGATCTTTCGTCATAGGAGACGAGCATCACTCAGTGCTAGTTTTCTTTCTTCTGCTTTGCTCAGCCTCATAAACAAATTTTAGTTTCACTCTCTCTTTTACTGGTATATTCTTTCTTTAAATGTCACTCTAATTCATATTCATAGGTGCCTACCGTGTAATTCTTCCATATTCTGATCTGATTGCACAAAGAAGAAAAAACAAATTGAATTTCCTTTCTATCATAGTGAATTGGGTCTAGAAATACATATGATTTGATTTCTGGATAGAGAAACAAATAACATATCTTACATATAAATGTTGGTCATGTTAAATTCATACCCATTACATGTTGTAAAGAGGCCCAAGGGTGTTAACATAAGACAGAACTGGGTGTTATCCCTGGCTCTGCCTTTTATTAGTTCTGGGCCTCAGACAAGTCCCTAAGTTCTCCTGAAACTCAGATTCCTTATTTTTTAAAGGAGGATATGAAAATCTCTTAGGGTTGATGTAAAATGTATTATTATCATGCATATAAATATATTTATTGGATTATCAAAATATGCATTCTTATCTTTGATTATTTTTAACACAGTTATTTTCTAGATGGATCAAAATGTCTCATGCACAGCCTTCTCAATATCATGGGTGAGATTAGGGTGAATGTCTCTGTAATCGCTGTGACCAACCACAGTCCACCGAGAGTTATTCTTTAGAAAACCAAAGTCCTGACAAAAACACATTTTTAAAAGGGATTTAAATTTAAGAAATATATATTTTTTCTCAATCTAAGATTTTCTTTCAAAGTAATTATACCTGCCACTCTATTAAACTACTTTATTTCTCAAAAAACTCCATATTTCTCAAACTCTAAAATTGATTATATCATTAAATATCCTTAAATATATAAAACCTTTCAATTAATATCTAGTCTCTTCGCAATGTCTAATAAGTTTAATGTGATTATACTTATTATATACTAATATACTAATATTGCTGTTTCTATTATATACCTAGTAAAAAACTATTAAATATGATTGAGTATACTAACCAAGTCTCAAACACACTGTTCAAGAATATTTTAACTTTTTATGTTGTCATATACTATATAGCACTTAGATCATTGTTTGGCTCTATTTGGAAGACTTTCCAAAATCTGATTGCTATTCAATGATTTTCTGTTTTAGAAGAGTGTTAAATAGCTCACATATGTAAGTAGTAAGACAAATATCCAAAGACCAATGTACACAATTAAACTTCATGGCTATTACATCTTACAAAGCTGAGCAAGTTTTCATTTAGTAATGCATTTGAAAAAACTCTAGTTGCATGGATTCTAATTGCTTTAGCAGATACTATAAGAATATCATATATGTTATTGGGCCATATTATATTACGTGGTTGCATCAGTTTTCAGTGATTATTATTAGCTTTCAAGACCACTCTTTCCCCTTTGTCTTCTGGATTTCCTGAATATTATTAGACTGTGGTGAGGTAAGACATTAGAGGAAATAATAACTGTGCTAATGTCTAATCCAAACACTTATAAATTATAAACCATTGGTGACATCATAGTAATAACTTCCTTAAAGCTCAATCGTTTCCAAGCAATAAATTTAGAAAACAAAATTCAATTTTAGCTTTCTATGATGATAAAAATATAGATTGTATTTGTTTTAAAAGATAGAAAAATATATATGTATGTAGTTTCATGTATACTTGGTGAAGAATAAATGTTTTTTAGTGACAAATTACATAAAATGATGTCAATATCAAACATTAGATAATATGTAAAGACTGTGTGTATATGGATATATACATGTATATATATTTACATAGATATTTTTAATTCCTTTTTACAACACCTTTTTGAAATTCCTTCTTCCTCTTACTGAATACCATCAAGCCCAATCTAAGGGTGAACTTACGTTCCTTTCAGATAAAATCACAATGCCATGTCACGAGAAGAAGTTGTCAAACGTTTCTGAAGACATTTGTTAGTTTTACTTTATGTGTATGTACAGGACACAATTATGAATAGGGTGAAACTATGGATGGTAGCCACGAAGAAATCTAATAGGATCTCAGCAGAAGGACTGTGACACTCTGCACTTTGCCTAAAGGAAGTCCGCTCGTAGATTAATTCATTTGAAAGTGATTTTCCTTAAGAGGGAACTTTACATTTATATTGTCCAACATTGTCGCCACTATAAGCACATAGTTGTTATATTTTAAATTAGTAAAAATGAAAAGGATCTAGTTCCTCAGTTGCCTCAGCCACATTGCAAGTGCTCAATGGTCACGTGGGCTATGACTACCAGAGTGCGTAAATACAGACATACAACATTCCCTTTGCTGTAGAGAAGATCCATTCAGTAGTGCCACTAGCAATCCCATGTCCAAAGATCATAGTTTCGCAGAATAGAAAATCAGTAATCAGAGGTACCCTTCCCATCAATGAGAGAAATCTTGAACATCAGGCTGCTATTGTAGTAGAAAAAGTCTATGATATCGACCAGGAGGAAAGTACAAGCTTTCTTTGTTCTTAAATCAGTGGCTATGATAAGTAATATTGATGGCAGTACAGGTGGACAAATACATGCCTTGCGTTCCCTAGCTTATGTGTCTTTCATTTAGTCTTACTTTTCCTTAATCTATGTGTGCCACCCGAAGTCCAAATTGACTCAACTGTACCTAAGGACCACAGTCGGTGTGGATAACAGGAGTCCTGGTGGGGCAATGCTTAACTAAACAAATGGAAGTTAGGACCACCCAAGAGCTCAATGGAAGCAAGTTTTGACCATCTGCTCCCTTAAAGATACAGCCAAGAAAACACTACGAGGTAGTTCTACATTG